AAAGAAAACTAGCTTAAAAGCAGTTTAGAGATGGGAGGAACTCTTGAACTGTCCTGCTGTTGCCAAGGAGTACCCTGTATATAAGTCCTAATAAACTCATCTCACCAAGCTGGTCTTGTCTGAGTCATACTTTGGTCTTTGCTTCCTCCCAGTTTGGGGAAAACTTTTCTATACACTTCTGGGTTTTTCTCATAACAGCAGAGAAAGACTAAGAAGGACTGGAATGGGATAGGGCTTGGAAATTGAAATTGAGTCTTTTTTTTTTTTTTTGAAGAAAGATCAGATACAAGTGAACTTATAAATTGAACTTTGCATACAACATCTACTCAAAAAGTTTCACTCAGTCAAGTATTCAGCTACTATTGATATGGAAGAAAGTAGAAGAGGGAGCACTCTCCATCCAGTTAACATATATATTTTTTAAATTATACTTTAAGTTCTGGGATGCATGTGCAGAATGTACAGGTTTGTTACATAGGTATACATGTGCCATGGTGGTTTGCTGCACCCATTAGGTATTTCTCCGAATGCTATTCCTCTCTTTACCCCTGCACCAACAGGCCCTAGTGTGTGATGTTCCCCTCCCTGTATCCATGTGTTCTCATTGCTCAATTCCCACTTATGAGTGAGAACCTGCGGTGTTTGCTTTTCTGTTTCCATGTTAGTTTGCTGAGAATTATGGCTTCCAACTTCATCCATGTCCCTGCAAGAGACATGAACTCATTCTTTTTTTATGGCTTCATAGTATTCCATGCTGTATATGTGCTGCATTTATCCAATCTATCATTTATGGGCATTTAGGTTAGTTCCAAGTCTTTGCTATTGTGAACAGTGCTGGAATAAACATACATGTGCATGCATCTATATACCAGAATAATTTATAATCCTTTGGGTATATATGCAGTAATGGGATTGCTGAGTCAAATGGGATTTCTGGTTCTACATCCTTGAGGAAGCGCCACACTGTCTTCCACAATGGTTGAACTAATTTACACTTCCACCAGCAGTGTAAAACTGTTCCAATTTCTCCACATCCTCTCCAGCATCTATTATTACCTGATGTTTGAATGATCGCCATTTTAACTGATATCAGATGGTGTCTCATTGTGGTCTTGATTTGCATTTCTCTAATGACCAGTGATGATGAGCTTTTTTTCGTATGTTTCTTGGCCACATAAATTTCTTCCTTTGAGAAGTGTCTGTTTATAATCTTGGCCCTCTTTTTGATGTTTTTTTTTTTTTTTTCTTGTAAATTTGTTTAAGTTCTTGTGGATTTTGGATATTAGTCCTTTGTCAGATGGATAGATTGCAAATTTTTCTCCCATTCTGTAGGTTGCTGGTTCACTTTGATGATAGTTTCTTTTGTTGTGCAAAAGCTCTTTAGTTTAACTAGATCCCTTTTGTCAATTTTGCTTTTGTTGCCATTACTTTTGGTGTTTTAGTCATGAAGTCTTTGCCCATGACTATGTCCTGAATGGTATTGCCTAGGTTTTCTTCTAGGGATTTTATGGCCTTAGATCTTACATTTAAGTCTTTAATCTATCTTGACTTAGTTTTTTTATAAGGTATAGGGAAAGAGTCCAGTTTTCTGCATATAGCTAGCCTGTTTTCCCAACAATATTTATTAAATAGGGAAACCTTTCCCCATTGCTTGTTTTTGTCAGATCTGTCAACAGATCAGATGGTTGTAGATGTGTGGCGTTATTTCTGAGGCCTCTGTTCTGTTCCTCTGGTCTACATATCTGTCTTGGTACCACTACCATGCTGTTTGGTTATTGTAACTTTGTATAGTTTGAAGTCAGGTAGTGTGATGCCTCCAGCTTTGCTTTTTTTGCTTAGGATTGTCATGGGTATGTGGGCTCTTTTTTTGGTACCATATGAAATTTAAAGTATTTTTTTTTTCTAATTCTGTGAAGAAAGTCAATGGTAGCTTGATGGGAATAGCATTGAATCTATAAGTTACTTTGGGCAGTATGGCCATTTTCACAATATTGATTCTTCCTATCCATGAGCGTGAAATGTTTTTCTATTTGTTTGTGTCCTTATTTTCTTGAGCAGTGGTTTGTAGTTCTCTTTGAAGAGGCCCTTCACATCCCTTGTAAGTTGTATTCCTAGGTACTTTATTCTCTTTGCAGCAGTCGTGAATGGGAGTTCTCTCATGATTTGGCTCCCTGCCTATTGATTTTGTATCTTGAGACTTTGCTGAAGTTGCTTATCAGCTTAAGGAGTTTTGGACTGAGACAATGCAGTTTTCTAAATATACAATCATGTCATCTGCAAACAGAGACAATTTGAATTCTTCTCTTCCTATTTGAATACCCTTTATTTCTTTCTCTTGCCTGTTTGCCCTGGCCAGAACTTCCAATACTATGTTGAATAGGGTGGTAAGAGAGGGCATCCTTGTCTTGTGCCAGTTTTCAAAGGGAATGCTTCCAGCATTTGCCCATTTTGTATTCCTAAGTGTGTTATTCTCTTTGTAGCAATTGTGAATGGAGTTTACTCATGATTTGGCTCTCTGTTTGCCCATTGTTGGTATATAGAAGTGCTTGTGACTTTTGTACATTGATTTTATATCCTGAGACTTTACTGAAGTTGCTTATCAGCTTAAGGAGATTTTGGGCTGAGACGATGGGGTTTTCTAAATATACTATCATGTCATCTGTAAACAGACAATTTGACTTCCTCTCTTCCTCTTTGAATACCATTTATTTCTTTCTCTTGCCTGATTGCTCTGGCCAGAACTTCCAATATTATGTTGAATAGGAGTGGTGAGAGAGGGCATCCTGGTCTTGTGCTGGTTTTCAAAGGGAATGCTTCCGGCTTTTGTCCATTCAGTATGATATTGGCTGTGGGTTTGTTAAAAATAGCTCTTATTATTATGAGATATGTTCCATCAATACCTAGTTTATTGAATGTTTTTAGCATGAAGTGAGGTTGAATTTTATCAAAGGCCTTTTCTGCATCTATTGAGATAATCATGTTTTTTTTTTTTTTTTTTTTTGAGACGAAGTTTTGCTCTTGTTGCCTAGGCTGGGAGTGCAATGGCCTGATCTTGGCTGACCACAACCTCTGCCTCCCAGGTTCAAGCAATTCCCTGCCTCAGCCTCTCAAGTATCTGGGATTACAGGCATTTGTCATTGGTTCTGTTTATATGATGGATTATATTTATTGATTTGTATATGTTGGACCAGCCTTGCATCCCAGGGATGAAGCCAACTTGATCGTGGTGGATAAGCTTTTTGATGTGCTGTGGGATTCGGTTTGTCAGTGTTTTATTCAGGATTTTCGCATCTATGTTCATCAGGGATACTGGCCTAAAATTTTCTTTTTTTGTTGTGTCTCTGAGAGGTTTCGGTATCAGGATGATGCCTGACTCATAAAGTGACTTAGGGAGAAATCCCTCTTTTCCTATTGTTTGGAGTAGTTTCAGAAGGAATGGTACCAGCTCCTCTTTGTAACTCTGGTAGAATTTGCCTGTGACTCTGTCTGGACCTGGGCTTTTTTTGGTTGGTAAGGCACTGCCTCAATTTGAGAACTTGTTATTGGTCTATTCAGGGATTCAACTTCTTCCTGGTTTAGTCTTGGGAGGGTGTATGTGCCCAGAAATTTATCCATTTCTTCTAGATTTTTTAGTTTATTTGCATAGAGGTGTTTATAGTAGATCTTTCCTGCTTTCTCATGTGGGCATTTAGTAGTATAAATTTCCCTCTAAACACTGCTTTAGCTGTGTCCCAGGGATTCTGATATGTTGTATCTTTGCTCTCATTGGTTTCATAGAACTTATTTATTTCTGCCTTAATTTCTCTACTTACCCAGTAGTCATTCAGGAGAAGGTTGTTCAGTTTCCATGTAGTTGTGTGGTTTTGAGTGAATTTCTTAATCCTGAGTTATAATTTGATTGCACTGTGGTCTGACAGACTGTTTTTTAGAATTTCTGTTCTTTTACATTTGCTGAGGAGTGTTTTACTTCCAATTATCAAGTAAATGTTAGAATAAGTGCTATGTGCTACTGTAAAGAATGTATATTCTGCTGATTTGGGGTGGAGGGCTCTGTAGATATCTATTAGGTCCACTTGATCCAGAGCTGAGTTCAAGTCCTGAATATCCTTGTTAATTTTCTGTCTTGTTGTTCTAATATTGACAATGGGGTGTTAAAGTCTTCCACTATTGTTCTGTGGGAGTCTAAGTCTTTTTGCAGGTCTCTAAGAATTTGGTTTATGAATCTGGGTACTCCTGTATTGGGTGCGTGTATATTTATGATAGTTAGCTCTTCTTGTTGCATTGATCCCTTTACCATTATGTAATGCCCTTCTTTGTGTTTTTTTAATCTTTGTTGGGTTAAGGTCTGTTATATCAGAGACAAGAATTGCAACTCCTGCTTTTTTTTTTTTTTTGCTTCCTATTTGCTTGGTAAATATTCCTCCACCCCTTTATTTTGAGCCTTGTGTGTGTCTTTGCATGTGAGATGGTTCTCCTGAATACAGCAGAGCAATGAGTCTTGACTCTTTATCCAATTTACCAGTCTGTGTCTTTTAATTGGGGGCATTCAGCCCATTTACATTTAAGGTTAATATTGTTATGTGTGAATTTGACCTTGTCATCATGATGCTAGCTGGTTATTTTGTACATTAGTTGATGCAGTTTCTTCATAGTGTTGTTGGTCTTTATATTTTGGTATGTTTTTGCAGTGACTGGTACCAGTTTTTCCTTTCTATGTTTAGTGTTTCTTTCAGGAGCTCTTGTAAGGCAGGCCTGGTGGTGACAAAATCCCTCAGCATTTGCTTATGTGTAAAGGATTTTATTCCTCCCTTGCTTATGAAGCTAGGTTTGGCTGAATATGAAACTCTGGGTTGAAAATTATTTTCTTTAAGAATGTTGAATATTATCTCCCACCCTCTTCTGGATTGCAGGGTTTCTGCAGAGAGATCTGCTGTGAGTCTGTTGAGCTTCCCTTTGTGGGTAACCTGACCTTTCTTTCTGGCTGCGCTTAATATTTTTTCCTTTTCAACCTTGGTGAATCTGGCGATTAGGTGTCTTAGGGTTGCCCTTCTTGAGAAGTATCTTAGTTGGGTTCTCTGTATTTCCTGAATTTGAATGTTGGCCTGTCTTGCTAGGTTGGGAAGTTCTCCTACATAATGTCCTGAAGAGTGTTTTCCAGTTTGGATCCATTTTCCCCGTCACTTTCAGGTACACCTATTAACTATAGGTTTGGTCTTTACATAGTCCCATGTTTCTTGGAGGCTTTGTTTGTTCCTTTTCATTCTTTTTTCTCTAATCTTGTCTTCATGTTTTATTTCATTAAGTCCATCTTTAATCTCTGCTATCCTTTCTTCCACTTGATCAGTTCAGCTATTGAAACTTGTGTATGCTTCACAAAGTTCTCATGCTGTGTTTTCCAGCTCCATCAGGTCATTTATGTTCTTCTCTAAATCGGTTGTTCTAGTTAGCAGTTCTGTAACTTTTTATCAAGGTTCTTAGTTTCCTTGAATTGGGTTATATCATGCTCCCTTAGCTTGGAGAAGTTTGTTATTACCCACCTTCTGTAGTCTACTTCTGTCAATTTGTCAAGCAATTCTTCATCCAGTGTTGCTCCCTTGCTAGTAGGGAGTTGTGAACCTTTGGAGAAGAGACTTTCTGGCATTTTGAATTTTAGCATTTTTGTGCTGTTTTTTTCCTCATCTTCCTGGATTTATCTACCTTTGATATTTGATGCTGATGACCTTTAGATGGAGTTTTTGCATGGGCATCCTTTTTGTTGATGTTGATGTTATTGCTCTCTGTTTGTTGGTTTTCCTTCTAACAGTCAGGCCCTTCTGCAGGTTTGCTGGAGTTTGCTGGAGGTCCACTCCAGACCCTGTTTGCCTGGGTATCACCAGCGGAGGCTGCAGAACAGCAAAGATTGCTGCCTACTTCTTCCTCTGGAAGCTTTGTCCCAGAAGGGCACTGCCGGATGCCAGCCAAAGCTCTCCTTTATGAGGTGTCTGTTGACCCTGCTGTAATGTGTTTCCTAGTCAAGGGGCATGAGGGTCAGGGACCCACTTGAGGAGGCAATCTGTCCCTTAGCAGAGCTCGAGCACTCTGCTGGGAGATCCATTATTCTCTTCAAAGCTGGCAGGCAGGAATGTTTAAGTCTGCTGAAGCTGCACCCACAGCTGCTCCTTCACCCAGGTGCTCTGTCCAAGGAAGATGGGAGTTTTATTTATGAGCCCCTGAGTGGGGCCGCCTTTCTTTCAGAGATGCCCTGCCCAGAGAGGAGGAATCTAGAGAGCCAGCTGACATATTTTTTTATACCTCATGCCTACTTATGATCTTGCTTGATCAGTGACATCTACTTTTAAGAATTTTGAAAAGAAAAGAATTTTAAATCTCTCTTTTGCACTGATATTTGCCTTCAAACATGCTAAACTTCTCACTTATCCTCAAACAACCACCACCAATTTCTTTTGATCCAACCATTATATCAAGTTCCTGTCTCCTTCCTTTTTCTTATCACATTTCTTAAGAGGGCAGTCACACTTGCTGTGTCTACTTTCTGAACTCACCTGCAATCTCCAATTGATTACAGTTTGGGTTTATTTTTCTTACCATTGAGGGAAACTATTTTAGTTAGGAAGACAATGACCTGTTGCAGTTCAAATCCAACATTTAAAAATTCTGCATCCTATTTAACCTGTGGTTAGCATTTGACACTATGCCACATCTGTGTGTCAAGATTTGTTTTTTAAAAACAGTTCAGCATTGTAAACAAATATTTTTTAAGCTCTATATAAGGAAATATTGCTGGAACTGGAAGTAATAAAACTCCTCCTTCTTGAGATCTGCTCTAATGTGTTATACTCTACACATCAGTTAATGCCCTTTGTATGGTACTGTGTCATTTCTCACTTCTTTCTTTTTCTCAACTCTCAAATCCAGGAGAATGTCAAATCCTGAAGCTTCTACCTGAGAAATATTTCTTAGTCATTCTTCCCAGCAGCGACTGTGATAAGAAGCCCTCATTGTTCTCTCAATTAGAAAATGTAATCGTCCCCAATTGATTTTCCTGTTACTAGTGTCCCCTACTTGAGTCATTTCTCACACTGTAAACCAAATCCAATGATACAGATATCTTTCCCATGAAGTTCTCTGTCATTTCTCTGTTGTCTCCAAGATGAAGCTCCAACACCCTATTTCAGGATTTCACAGGGTGGTCCCTAGATCAGGAGAAGCAACATCTCCTGGGAACTTACTACAAAAACAAAACCTTTGATCCTATCTCAGAGCTATTGAAGCACAAACACTTTGGTCCAAGGTCTATGATGGAACAAACCCTTCAGGTGATTCTGATTCATACTAAAGTTGGAGAACCAGCGCCCCAGCTGACTAGTAGAATATCCTCTTTGTGCAGGCTGCTCCCAGACTTCACAACCCCTCTTGCATTTGTATTTCTTTTGCACTTGATGTTATTTTCTCATTTGCTATGTCATCTTGCAAATGCCAGACTTTAGGACTGACCTTCCAGACTGGAATACCACACCGAATGTTTTTTCCTGGCAAATTGTTATTATTTTTTCACTATCCATTTCAAATCCTGTGAGATTTCTGATCTCCCTCAAGATTCATTCTTGCTCTGTCTGTCCTCCATTGGTATTTTGTTCACATCTCTGTAATAGCATTTACCGTGCCATATCTTAATTTATATTTCTATGTAATATTTTCCTCCTAAGACTGTGAAATTCTTACATATAGACTGTGTCTTGTTCATCTTTGTACCCCTAGTGGCCTAGCTTGCTGTTTTCTGTTTTTCTCTCTCCTTTTTTTTTTTTTATTGGCCATCTCTTTACACAAAAGTTTCGAGCGTGGGAAACTATTTTCAAAGTGAAATATTTCAACTAATCACCATAATGGTAATCAAGAAGCTTGGCAACTATTACAACTTTGTAACAGCCTTTTTGCATATCAGAGGAACCAGTCTCCTGTTGCTCTTTTGTCCATCTGAGTACATAAAATGACAGTAATTAATCAAGACAGACTGATTCCTCTCACACACTTGCCATGTGTTCTTTCTATTCTACTTTATCCATGTGCCCTGATAGGCCTCTTTTATACAACTTCCTTTGTGACCCCCAGATTCCAACAACAAGGATGTAATGTTTCCCAGGTGATTTCTTTCTATTGTTCTAAGATCCTGTTTCATTAGGTGCAGTTCTTTCAATTCCCTCTCCTGATTTTTAAAAAACCAGATTGCTATTTGTGATGAAGAAACACTGTGTGGTGAAGAGATGAAGGAACCTCAGGGTTTGAGCTCTGTTTGATGGCCTAGTTCATTAAAATACAGCCCTCTCCCCTTGATCATACTTAATTCTATAAGATGGACATAAAAGCGTCAATTGTACTCCAGGTGTGAAAATACATTAGTTTCAAAAAATGGGAGCTGATATTTTCAGATCAGTTTGGAGTAGCTTTGCCATTACTATGAACTTGTGATAGGTGTCTTCATGTTTCCATAGCTTGATGTTAAACTGCTTAGTAAGTAACTATACCAAAGCACCAAATTTAATTTATTAGCTAAAAAGCTTAATGTAGTTTCAACTGGTAATTTTACATTTACAGCAAAAATCATGTGCCTTGTTCCAGAGAAATGAAATTAGAGAGTTAAGCCAAAACAGATTATTTTAATTACCAACTAAATAGGTTAGAACACTTTTCGATTAAAATCTAGCAAAACAAAATCAGCAAATAATTTTTAAATGATCTCTTAATTTCATCAGAGTATTAAATATTCTTTAATGACTTCCACAGATTTATTTTATGATATGCAGAAAACCACATCTGCAAAACCAGAAGCAGAGTGACTTCTTAAAGTGATTTTTATTGTCATTGATAGGGACAGATTTTTGACAGATCTCTTTGTTAGATCTGAACTGTTAGAGCCGTTTCTTTTCCAGCAGCAAGTAATTCCAGCTTGATATAATGGTTCACATGGACGTCTAGTTCATGCTAAATCTAAAGCCCTGTTAAATTTACTTTATGTAAGGAAACCTTAGGGTCGACCAGCAGCAATTTCTTATGGTAAAGAAAGAGAACTATTGCAATACTTTGAATTCCAAGTAAGTGAGAGACAATAAATTTGAGTCTCTCTGATGTTCCACTTCAAGATAATAATAGATCTATTCTTAAGAAGTACATAAAGCATAAGCATTTCGAGCCATAGTATCTATGAAAAGGACACATTTGGAGACCAGTTGTTCGAGGTGCCGATGTGCTGTCCATATGTCTCAATCTGCTGTGATGAGCAACTGAGGCCATATAAATCCAACACTTTTTCCCCCTGAGGGCTCTGTATAATCCTTTCCATGTCAAAGGCAGAAAGGACATTATCCTACAACAGATCTCTGCCCTTGAACTTTTTAGCCTCTGCCAACCATGAGAGTTGTTAACTACCCATCATAAATTGCCTTCTCTGAGCATTTCCAAATGTTTGCCCCCAATTTTGCCTATTAGGATGGTGTATCCATTAGAAATATTCTGAGGCAGGAGAACAGTCTCATTTTGTATCTTAAAAAATAGGTGTAGGGTCATTCCTGTAATCCCAGCAATTTGGGAGGCTTAGGTGGGCAGATCACGAGTTCAGGAAACCGAGACCATCCTGGCTAACACGGTGAAACCCCATATCTACTAAAAATACAAAAAATTAGCCGGGCATGGTGGCACATGCCTGTAATCCCAGCTACTCGGGAGCCTGAGACAGGAGAATTGCCTGAACCCAGGAGGCAGAGGTTGCAGTGAGCGGAGATTGTGCCACTACACTACAGGTTGGGCAACAGCAAGACTCCATCTCAAAAAAAAAAAAAAAAAAAAAAAAAGATGTAGGGATTACGCTGACTGTGGGAAGGAAAGAGAGTAGCAATTTGCCTTCTACGAGGAGAAGCCCTGAGGAGAATTTATCCTTGTCTCACGATTGTCTTTTTCTAGCATGAAAACAGGTATTCAGACTCAATGATAACTAAATCAACATCAGGCTCCTACTACGGTTTTTTCCTTATTATTAGTCTTCTGAGAGGGATGCTCTCCGTGAGCACCCTGGAGAGTGCTGGCTGCATCCTTCTTGGAGAAAGGCAACAATGCTTGGTGAGTGGGTTATACCTTGTGCTGTGAGGTGTGTGTGTGAAAATTGTAATGGACAGCTTTTCTATTTTCATCAACCATATTATATCCCTTGTAATTTAGCCCAGAAAACTAGGTGGAGGATAAGAAACCACTTGTGATATTGTGTGGGGCATCTGAGTGGCCAGGATATTAAGTGCCCTGAAGAATGCTGGAGAATGTTCAGCATTCTTCAGGGGAACTTGATAACCGTGATCTCTCCATGAGGAAGACTTCTTGGCAAGTGTTCCTTGATAAGAAACCTGGAGTTAAAATTAAGAAACCTGGCTGCATTTAAAAATTATAATTTAGTGAAAGTGTCTAGAAAAAAGAACCAGATACTGTTTGTGCGTGTGTGTGTGTGTCTGTGTGTGTGTGTGTATGTTTTAGGAAGGAAGTTACTTAAAGAAGCACTCGTTTCTCTCCTGCAGAACTAGTTAAAGATTTTTGGTTGATTCTGATTGAATTGGATGGATTCTTAATACTATTTCAGGCTGGTAATGCTGGTGGCTAAAATGGATGAAAAAGTGTTTATATGTTAACACCTACAGCCAACTGTGGCTTTTATTTATTCATTCAACACATATTTATTAATCATGTGTTAACCCTTTAAGTGAAGTAACTTTGTAATGACCAATATGCTTTTGTTCCCTGTTTCTACTTTCTTCAGCCCTTTTCTACCTATAAAGCCAACCTCCTCGGCTGTTTATCAAAGTACCCATTCTATTTTATAGAATGAGATAATGACCAGCTCTAGAATCACTAATAATGACTAATTACATCTTTAAACTAAACTTGTTGTAATTTTACTTTTTAAATTTTATTTTTATTTTTTTTTCTGAATTAGCATCCCATATATATAATTGTATTTTTTTAACAATATCAATAAAGGTGCCTTTATTCTGAGAGCTATATGAGGTGATTTGATCATATTATTCACAGAATTATAAAGTTAGCAGAAGAAAATTATTAAATGAAACTCTAAATTTTTTGTTAAATTGGTGACTGGTTATTAATCTTGTTACATTAATTTGTTAAATTAAATTGGTGACTGCTTATTAATCTTGAAGATAGGAAAGAAGATGTTCATGGATTAGTGTTGGTCCTGAGAGGACTTACTGTCTTGTTTAGGAGAAAAGGCTCACGAAAATTAATCCAAAACAGAATATAGTCAAGTTTCAAACTGTATGTTTTATAGATGTTCAGAGAATTGTGTTGTGTTGATTTTTGTTAGCATGAAAGGCCTTGTAAAACATGTGTGAGTAGAAGCCAATTAGAACTGATTATGGTTTGTTTGTTTGTTTGTTGTTTTGAGATGGAGTCTTGCTCTGTTGCCCAGGCTGAAGTGCAATTGTGTGATCTTGGCTCACTGCAACCTCCACCTCCTGGGTTCCAGTGATTATCCTGTCTCGACCCTTCGAGTAGCTGGGATTACAGGGTCCCGCCACCATGCCGGGCTAATTTTTGTGTTTTTAGTAGAGATGGGATTTCACCAGTTTGGCCAGACTGGTCTTGAACTCCTGACCTCAGGCGATCCACCTGCCTTGGCCTCCAAAAGAACTGAGTGTTTTTACAGGCTCCATCCCTTATTCCTGGAGTCATCTTAGGGAAATTTTCTGACATTTTATTGCCTTAGAACTCTCCTCTGTTAAGTAGAGAGAAAGATGCCTCACTTACTTGCCAAGAACTAATGAGATACAATTTTGAGAAGTCATTTTTTTTAATCCCCATAATTTTCACCAACCTTGATAACACTAAATTTGCCTCACTCGAATACAGCCATAATGGAATGCTGTTAGAACATAGTATTCTAATATTCATTCCAGAATTCCTCTCTGTGAACTGTTTCTGTTCAGAATCCCTGTTCATAAATACTGAGAGTGTGTCAGCTGGTGACTCCAGAGGAAAGGGGAAGCTGCTATGCATGAGGTAAAAGGAAGAACGTGTTGTTTTGCTACTCAGAAGGGCAGGGGAGGAAAGTGGGATAAAGCGTAGGGAGCAGAGAAGAGACAGGCCAGCAAAATCGAAAAGCAGGTGCTGCAGAGAAAGAGTCAGGAGAGAAACTTCAGTGGTGAGTGATAAAAATGGACCTGGGGGACAGGATGATACATAAGAAGAGATGTGCTTTTGCCCCCTGTCTCTCCAGTCATCAGGAGAGTCTATTGAACTTACAAATGCTTTGTTTCCATTTTTGGCAAACACAATAAAGGAGCTGTTTTATATCTGGCAGTACCTCATGTTGACCCCGATAAAAATAAGAAACAAGAGCCCAAGAAGCAGAGGAAGTTAGGAGACAGTAAGTCGCTCAGAAATTAGCCAGTGATCATGCAAGGGCTCTGGACTTCTGTAGCAAATGGAAATGTGAGGTTCATTCTAGGTTTATGTAAATACCCAAGGGTTAAATTAACTCTCTTATTGGATGTGACACCAATTTGTAAGGACATCAGAAAATAGTCCACATTGTTTCAAAGTTGGCTCCCTTACTTTTTAATATATATCAAGGTTTAGAATATGATACCCCAAAATATGGCACCTTGGCATAAGCAGAAAGCTCACTCTCTGACTTTCTCCAGCCTTCTCTCCAGAGGCCGTAAAAATCATTCTCTCTCCCTCCCTGTGGAGAATGAAGACTGCTTTGAGACAGGTGTCCTACTTTATACCCAGAGAAAAGGAATGAAGATATATACAACCAGAGCAGAATCGGAACAAACAGGCCTTCCTAAGTTCCCCCAGTTTATTGATCATACCCTTTTTGATCAATCAGAATTTTTTGCTTGTTTGTTTAGGAGGCAGAGTCTCACTCTGTCGCTCAGGCTGGAGTTCAGTGGTGTGATCTCGGCTCACTGCAACCTCTGCCTCCCAGATTCAAACTGTTCTCCTGCCTCAGCCTCTCCAGTAGCTAGGATTACAGGTGCCCACCACCACGCCTAGCTAATTTTTATATTTGTATTAGAGAAGAGGTTTCACCATGTTGGCCATACTGATCAATCCAACTTCGATGTGACTGTCCATTCTTTATCAATCCTAGGCATAAAAATACACAGCTTTTCCTAGGTCTTTGGGTCTTCATGTCTGAAGTTTCCTGTGTCACATAAAATTTTGGTTAAATAATTTTGTTTTGCCTTTCTCTTGTTAATCTGTCTTTTGTTATAGGTGTCAGCCACTGACTGTCAACTTTACAATGGGTATGCAGAAGATTCTACTTTTTCTCTCCTGCACATCTAATGAAATTCTTCAGTTTAAATCCTTAGGTATAAAGCAGTAATATCCCTGATCTTTGTTTTGTACTAACAGTCTTGACTTTTCCTAAATCAAGTACATCCTTGTGGATTATTACTCTCACCTACGTGGTCTTCAGAAAAGAAAAATAAACTTACTCTACTGGAGATCATGATGAGACAATATTCTATAAGCGGAGATGCCTTATAAAACTGTTTTTGTTCCATTCGTACACAGCTATTTTTAAAGTTATATTTTTAAAATTCACAGTTCTTACTCTTTGAGACTTCAATTACAAAGTCAAGTATGGCTGTTCTTAACATTTAATTCACACTTGAGGCCAGGAGTTCAAGACCAGCCTGGGCAACATAGTGAGACCCTATCTCTACATTTTTTTCTTAATTAGCTGTGCATGGTGACATGTGCCTGTAGTCCCAGCTACTTGTGAGGCTGAGATGAAAGGATTGCTTGAGCACAGACATTCAAAGCTGCAGTGAGCTATAGTCACCCTGCTGTACTCCAGCCTGGGCAATACAACAAGATCCTGTCTTGGAAAAAAAAAAAAAAAGATTCCTGCATTCAACACCGTTGCCTTTCATTTTGCCTGTTTCCTTTTCTTCCCAACTGTGACCTCCTTACTGAGTTATGCTCAAGGTCCCTGATTCCTTTTCAGATAGTCTCTGTAATTGGAATTGGAGGTGTGAGAGGAATACACATTCCCACAGAGCCTGCTGCAGCAGTGTAAGCCTTATTCACACAGGCAAATTTTAACTGTGATGTCATCTCAGTAAAATGTTATACAAGTTTGGTGTCATTTAAATATTCTGTGACACTGACCAGGCATGGTGGCTCACGCCTGTAATCCCAGCACTTTGGGAGGCCGAGGTGAGTGGATCACCTGAGGTTGGGAGTCTGAAACCAGCCTGACCAACATGGAGAAACCCTGTCTCTACTAAAAGTACAAAATTAGCCAGGTGTGGTAGCATATGCCTGTAATCTCAGCTACTTGGGAGGCTGAGGCAGGAGAATCAGTTGAACCTGGGAGACGGAGATTGCAGTGAGCCGAGATCGCACCATTGCACTCCAGCCTGGGCAACAAGAGCAAAACTCTGTTTCAAAAAAAAAAAAAAAAAAAAAAAAACACTCTGTGACACTTTCAGAGGGCACTTTCCAATACACAAAATCATCTCTTGCATTATCTGAGGAATGACAACTCTTTTTTAAAAATGTTTTTAAAATGACCCTGAAATTCCTAGAAAACCAAACCAAACCAAAAACCTCACTATATTTTTTATTTTACCAGAAAATAAACATTTTTTTCCCTAGTTATGTTTAGGTTGTGGTGAGAGTTAAATAATATGCATGACATGAGAGAACATTATTTACCATAAATCTTTGTATAGACACTCCTATTTGATTAGCTATTTTCAGAATATCAGAAACTAATAATTCCCCTTCATTTCCACAGGCAACAGTGATCCTAGACCAAATTCCTTCTTTTCTCTCTCCAAATTGGTTATGATCACACTTTCTCAGGTTGGTCAACTATATTTAGGCATGAAGGAAAAGGAGAGCCAGGCTGTCACTTGTCAAAAAAAAAAAAAACACAGATACAATGGCTTTTCAAGTTAGTCTTGGAGAATTTCATGATATTCCAGGGTTTTTACTGCTTCTGTGAGTAAATTTTTTTTTCCTGCTCCCATGTAGGAAATTGTTCGGCTTTGGCAAGCCATTTGGGCCTTCATTTCTGCTGTTTTGAATGTACCCCTCTCAATTCCATGCGTGGGAAACCAAATTCCCTATGTGGCAGTCTTGAACTCCTGACCTCGTGATCTGCCCGCCTCGGCCTCCCAAAGTGCTGAGATTACAGGTGTGAGCTACCGCACCCTGCCCCTATGTGGCAGTATGGAGAGGTGGAATGTTTAAGAAGTGAGTGTATCATGAGTGCTCTGCCCTCATGAATGAATTAATCTACTCATGACTTAATACATTGATGGGTTAATAGATTAATGGGCAATCATGGGAGTGGAACTGGTGGCTTTCTAAGAGGAAGAGAGGCCTGAGCTAGCATGTTAGCATGCTCAGCCCCCTCACTATGTGATTGTCTGCACTGCCACAGGAGTCTGCACAGTCCTCACCAGGAAGAAGGCTCTCACCAGATACTGAGCCATGCCCTTGGACTTCCAAGCCACCTGAATTGTAAGAAATTTCTTTTCTTTATAAATTACCCAGTTTCAAGTGTTCTTTTTCTTTTTTTTTTTTTTTTTTAATTATACTGTAAGTTCTGGGGTACATGTGCTGATCTTGCAGGATTGTTACATAGGTATACACATGCCGTGGTGGTTTGCTGCCTCCATCCCTCCATCATCTACATTAGGTATTTCTCCTAATGTTATCCCACCCCCTGCTATCCCTTCCCTAGCCTCCCCACCCCTCAACAGACCCCAGTGTGTGATGTTCCCCTCCCTGTGTCCATGTGTACTCATTGTTCAGCACCCACTTACGAGTGAGAACATGCGGCTTTTGGTTTTCTGTTCTTGTGTCGGTTTGCTGAGGATGATGGTTTCCAGATTCATCCATGTCCCTGCAAAGGACATGAACTCATTCCTTTTTTATGGCTGCATAGTATTCCATGGTGTATATGTGCCACATTTTCTTTATCCACTCTATCATTGATGGGGGTTTCGGTTGGTTCCAAGTCTTTGCTATTGTAAACCGTGCTGCAATGAACATATGTGTGCATGTGTATTTATGATAGAATGATTTATAATCCTTTGGATATATACCCAGTAATGGGATTGCTGGGTCAAATAGTATTTCTGGTTCTACATCCTTGAGGGATCACCACACTGTCTTCCACAATGGTTGAACTAATTTACACTTCCACAAACAGTGTAAAAGTGTTCCTATTTCTCCACATCCTCTCCAGCATCTGTTGTCTCCAGATTTTTTAATGATCGTCATTCTGACGTATGATGGTATCTCAATGTGGTTTTGATTTGCATTTCTCTAATGGGCACTGATGATGAGCATTTTTCATACGTTTTTTGGCCACATAAATGTCTTCTTTTGAAAAGTGTCTGTTCATATCCTTTGCCCACTTTTTGATGGATTTGTTTGTTTTTTTACCTGTAAATTTTGTTTTAGTTCTTTGTAGATTCTTGATATTAGCCCTTTGTCAGATGGTAGCTTGAAAAAATGTTTTCCCATTCTGTTGGCTGCCAGCTCACTCTAATGATTGTTTCTTTGCTGTGCAGAAGCTCTTAAGTTGAATTAGATCCCATTGGTCTATTTTGGCTTCTGTTGCCATTGCTTTTGGTGTTTTAGTCATGAAGTCCTTGCCTATGCCTATGTCCTGAATGATATTTCCTTTGTAACTGAGCACTGTGATAAATCCTCCTAATACTTTAGCTCGCTTGTTCCTCATAACAATTCTATTTTACAGATGAGGAAATGGACTTAGACTAGGAAACTTGCCCAAGGCTTAGGATGAATATATTTCATCTTGAAAGATAGGTGTGATTTGAGCTGTCACTGGCAATATCAGACTTTTTATATCAGATTTGATTGATGATAGATGACATAAATTGGGTTCTTAATATGTCAAGCATTTTTCTAAGTTATTAACTTATCTTCACAGCAACATAAGAAGGGAGGTAGATTATTACTTGTATTTTGGAGATGAAAAATGCAGACATTGAGGGGTTCAGTAGTCAGGCCTCAGAGGTCCTATAGCTAGCTGCTAAAAGACCTTGCCAAAATTTAAACCATGAAAGTCTCTTTAAGGGTGTGACTCTCTGCTGATTTGTTATAGAGCCTTTTCTTTAAAATCAGGTTTGAACCTGGCATGTGATGTGAAGATTATTTAAGATTTCATTTCCCATTTTGAATAATTTTCTGTGTATTCCTAGCCAAAGACATTTAATGTTAGTTTTTATTTTGATAAAGTTATCTTATCAATATTTTTATATTACTGTCATCAAAAGGCTGTTGAGATTAATTATGCAATCTGTTTAACTAAATGATGAAATAAAAGTCACATGTACACACCAACACACTCAACTGATTTATAACAAAGGTATAGTAACAATTCCTGGAGGAAGGATCTTCTTTTCAACAAATGGTGCTGGAGCAATTGGACATTTGAAAAAACTCACCTTGACTAAAGCCTCATACTTTACTAAAAAATTAACTCAAAATAGATCACAGGCTTAATGATTAAATTTAAGAATATAAAACATTTAGAGAAAAATCAGATAGAGAACATCTTCAGAGCTAGGCAAAGAGTTCTTATTGATTACACCAAAAGCATGATATGTGAAAAAAAGTTTTTTTTTTTATAAAGTGGACCTTGAATTAGTCCATTTTTACATTGCTAATAAAGGCATACCAGAGACTGGGCAATTTACAAAAGAAAGAGAGATTTAATGGACTTACAGTTTCATGTGGCTAGGGAGGCCTCACAATCATGGTGAAAGGCAAGGAGGAGCAAGTCACATCTTACATGGATGGCAGCAGGCAAAGAAAAAGCTTGGGACAGGGTAACTCCCCCTCATTGAACCATCAGATCTTGTAAGACTTATTTACTATCATGAGAACAGCATAGGAAAGACTCACCCTCATGATTCAATAACTTCCCACCAGGCTTCTCACACAGCACATGGGAATTCAAGATGAGATTTGGATGAGGACGCAGCTAAACCGTATCAGACTTCATCAAAATAACAAAGTGCTTTGTGAAAAACCCTGTTAAGAGAATGAAAAGACAGTGAGAGACAATATTGTCTGACACAGTGAGAGACAATATTTTAAACCCATATAGGACAAAGAGATTGTATCTGGAATATATAAAGAATTCTTGAAAGTCAACAGTTTTAAAAATACAAAATGATCAAAAGACAGACATGTTTCCAAAGAGAAGATGTGGATGGCAAATAAGCACAAGAAAAGGTGTTCAGAATCATTTGCCATTAGGAAAATGCATTCACGCTACAGTGAGACCACTGAAAACCTATCAGGATGGCTAAAATTAAAAGTAGTGGGCTGGGCATGGTGGCTCACACCTGTAATCCCAGCACTTTGGGAGGCCAAGGTGGGTGGCTCACCTGAGGTCAGGAGTTTCAGATCAGCCTGGCCAACATGGTGAAACCCCATCTCTACTAAAAATACAAAAATTAGCTGAGTGTGGTGGCAGGTGCCTGTAATCATAGCTACTTGGGAGGTTGAGGCAGGAGAATGGCTTGAACCTGGGAAGCTGAGGCTGCAGTGAGCACGCATCATGCATTGCACTCCAGCCTTGGCAACAGAGTGAAACTTTGTCTAAAAAAAAAAATAGTGATAATGCTAAATGCTGATGATAATGCCAAGAAACGGAATCTCTTTAACTTTGTGGGAATCAAAAATGATAGAGTCACCCAGGAAGTAGTTTGGCAGTTTTTTAATAGAAATATATATACTATTTTTGTAACTTCTGATGAATCTGTATTTCAAATAAAAAAGTACCTGTCAAACAAAGTAAGATAAGAATGGCTTGTTATATTTATCATTTTGTTACATGGTTTAAAATAACATCATTGATATACTCATAGTAGATGTGTGTAGTTATTTTTAAAAAAGATTTTGTCTCCAGCTGCTTCATATTAAAATGTCTGAAACATTCTAGCAATTCAAGAATAAAAGTTTTCTTTAAAATGTTAATCCTGACCTGGCAAAATGCTTTTTTTTGAAAAAATTCTAAGAAACCACTGGGTGGCAGTAAAGGCTTGGGATTTTGTTCATTTGCCTGTTTTTTTGGAAAGCAGAGAAAATAAGAAACTAATTTGGTTCTGCTCTTAGCAAATTAAAAAAAACACTGTAATGATAGATATTACTGGTGATTGGCGAGATTTAAGCTGCAAATCCAATCATTAAGAAATAATATTGGTAAAGTTAAAACAATAAATAACACACATTCTGAGGGATCAGATGCAGAGTAAAACTGTAAAAATAAACCTTGGGCCAACAATCCAGGAGAAGGACAATTTTAGAGCAAAAAAGAGTTTGGCATTGAGTGTTATAATGGCATGTGGGATTTTCTGATTCAAAATTTTACTGGCTTTCAGAAAGTCTAAGCAACTCCTTTATTTTTTGGCTTCCTCCTGTAACCAGGTTGCGTGATGCAGGGGCTCTGCTCCCTCCCGGATTTCATGCTCTTCAAGGTTCTTGGCCTTTTTTGCCCCAAGAATGGGAGAAGGGGCCCTGGAGGTGCAGTGAGCTTACCATTCAAGTAAATATCGGACCCAAAGAGTTAGCAGAGAGTGATTTATTAGGCGGAGAGAGAGCTCCCATGCTGCCATGGGAGGGGAATCCGGAGGGGATATCCGCACAGGTAGAGAGGGAAAGACTGCTCCCAAGTTGTTGCAAGAGGGGATCCCAGAGAGGGAAATCCTTATAGGTAAGGGAGCAGGGGGATTTTAGCCCTGGAGTTATTCCTTCCTCGTTCACGTTCTTGTCCAATGAGAGGAATTCTTTCAAACTTCCTCTGGAGTGATTGATCTTCAGCTCAGATCCTAGATTGGTTGCTTGGGCCCACAACAGAGCCCCTCCTCTCAGGGCTTCTGGGGGGCTTTCTGAAGAAAGAAGCTCACCTGGAATTTCTACTTAGGCCATGTGTGGGAAAGTTAGACAAAGAACTTTACCTTTGAAACCCCTCTGGTCCCTGATGGGGATGTAGATGGAGTTATGGCGCTGGGAAATTCTTGCCTTTGAAACACAGGCAACTTTCCTTAACACAGTCTCTTTCAGTGGGGCTAACAATGAATTAGACAAAATCAAACTGCTCTTCATTTCTTATTTGGGAAATAGTCTTTCTCTTTTAAATTTATAGATTAAAGTAATCCAGAATATGAGGAAAATTATAGATTGTCCTCTATAGGAGACAGAATATATCACATTTTAAAATATGGTATCACATTTCAAAGTACTTAATGTCTTTTCATCTTGACAAAGCTGAGGGAAAATCTCTATACAACCTATTGCATTTTTCATAAAATTTACTTGCCAGGAGCAAATTAAGACACTGACTTTAAATAGCAAGTTTGAAGAGATCCTATGCTTTTCTCCACAGCTTAACCTCATTAATACATCTCATTCTAAATATATATTGTCATCAAGGATGAGGCACTTATTTGCATATGTTACTGTTCTTTTGTGTCATCCTAATGTCAGGTAAAATAAAACAATGGATATTAGATCTGGCCCTACCCAGGTAAAGACACATTCAAAATCTCTGCTAAATATTTGTAACAGTATTATCAGAACAGATTTCCATGTGAATCAGGTATCAAAACAATTTACAAACAAAAGGTCCAGTTTTTATCCTGTCTTCTAAACCTTATGGCTGCAGGACAATGAGGATGGGGCAGAATGTCTGCAATGAGACAACTACAGTGAAGTTGGGATAATAATGCATTGTATCGTTGTGTGATTTGAGTGTGAAGTGCCATGAGAAAGCTTAGCACTGATCCTGTCTCAGCAAATACCCAGTACTCCTTTCTGCAGTGAGTACATGGTTGAGGTTAGAAACTCATAATGCATAGTAAACTCTTAGCACAGCAGACTGTTTAAAGTTAAGGATCCAGTATTAATGTCTTGGTGGAGACAGAAATCTAATATTTCCTCATATATTCTTATTTACATCAGCAAATTTAAGAAATATGGTTTTCATATTTTCATATTTCATATTTCAATGTAGTCATACTTCTGTATATCCACTTTCTATGGAAATAGCAAATTAAGCTTTCTGAGGACTGTGGATGTCTGTAGGTCTGTTTTTTTCACTAGAAGCATAAGATTGATTATTTTCTTTTTAGTTCTGTGAGTCAACCATACAATAGTTAATTCACAAATAATATGGCTAAGTCTACTATAATTGTTTGGTAACAAGTTGAAGCAATTAAAATGTCATCACCACTTCAATATTGATTAACTTTCTACTTTTTCCTTAGCTTTGATCACAACATTATCTTTGATTTCAAGACTGAAATGTTTCCTGAAGAAAATTCTCTGGAGACCCCAAGGCCAATGAAGAGAGAGTGACAATTAACAGTGATTCTTAAAAATCCACTGGGGTATACACTTTTTTTTTTTCAAAAATATGTTAAAGCATTTAAAAACCTTTCATAAAATGTATTTTTCATTTCTCTTCACTCTACTGACCTCTATCCCTACTTTTTCAACTCCTACATTTTTCTGTTTGTCCTTTGCTTGTGAATTTGTCACTTAACATCCTGTCATTGGTTCAGGTGAATCTTTTGGAGAGGACATGTAATACAGATAGCTGCAAACAAGCATTCAGATAATCTGGCCTTGGCACTCAAAGTATAGATGTTACTTTTATGAAGATTTCAGGGTTAAATACTATTATATTTAAATAAAGCCATGACCTTACCCAGATGATTAGAAGATGCATTTCCTTGAAGTTGGTCTCTACAATCTTCTAGCAACAACATTTAAATGACTTCTTTTTAATACTTTTAGGAAAAGTGATGGAGGAGTAGATTAATATTTTACTGTAGGAGTTAATTTGAGTCATATGTGCAGCATCTGTACCCTAAAGCAGCACACTCCTGAGAAATTGCCTGAATCTTTGCATGAAAAGAAATTGTCTACTACATCATAAAGAGGCCCTTTGGAACTATACTTACAGCAAATTTCAATACTTTATGCCTTAAAATAGTACTGTGATAGATAAGTCAGAGCATTCCCCCAAAAAGTGTTTGATGGCAGTGACCTGATTACCAGGACTTGTAATTTACATGGAACCTATCTCAGACAGTTTCTTAAACAGAATCGCATTTGTGAAAGGAAAAGAAAACAGGGTTACCAAAGTCACTAAGCTAAAGGGAAAAGTCAAGCAGGGAACTACTTAGGGCAAACCTGCCTCCAGTTCTATTCAAAGTCATCCCTCTGCTCGCTGAGATAAATGCATATCTGATTGTCTCCTTTGAAAAGGCTAATCAAAAACAAAAGATGCAACCATTTGTCTCTCACCTACCTGTGACCTGGAAGCTCCCTCCCTGCTTGAGTTGTCCGGCCTTTCCAGAGAGAACCAATGTACATCTTACCTATATTGATTAATATCTCATGTCTTTCTAAAATGTATAAAACCAGGCTGTGCCCTGGCCACCGTGGGCACATGTCATCAGGACATCCTGAGGCTGTGTTATGGGCAAGCATCCTCAATAGTATAATCAGCTATAAAACTCTGACAGGTGCTCTTGAATGCAGTTTTCTGATAACTTTGGAGACTATAACATCAGAATAGAGGAAAAACGCAGGACTCATAGGAAGCTGAAATGTTCATAAATATCAAGTAGAACAGGAATTAACTGCATGGACTGAACTAATAGACAACAGAAGTAATTGTTTTGACTTTTTGCTTAAAATGTTACTAGTTCTTTGTTTTTCAGAGTCAAGGAAAAGTTTCTTTTGAGCTATTGACAGTTTTTAACAATTAAGTATATTTCTATGAACAAAATTTGGAGCATATTTGTTTCTCTCTACCTGATTTCTCCAGAATTTGGAAACTATTTATGAGTATTCTTAATTTATGGCAATATAGTTATTTGCATAAGAGCAAGAACAATCTGTTTTCATTTGTAACAGGACACAATTAGAGAAACTGGTTATTTTACCAAGGTTTGACTGGAATGGAGTGTTTTCCTTTAAGGAATCAAACTTGACTTATACAACCGATAAAAGCCTCTTGGGAAAACTGGCCACATATCTTGTCTACACAGCCCCTGTACAGAGTTCCTGACCTGTGATAAGTAAAGAGCATCACTTTCTGACAGACCCAGGGACCCCAAATTATCTTGGGACCTCAAGAAAAGAATTCACCCAACTCACACATATTTGATGGTACGCACATGATGGCTGGGCTTGGCTTTAAATAAATCTTATCTGAGATTCCTTCTAAGGAACAAACTTCTATCAAAGCCAATTTGTATTTATTTATTGTTTATTATTATTTTTTTTTGAGATGGAGTTTCACCCTTGTCACCCAGGCTGGAGTAACCTTGGCTCACTGCAACCTTTGCCTCCTGGGTTCAAGTGATTCTCCTGCCTCAGCCTCCCAAGTAGCTGGGACCACAGGCACCCACCACCATACACAGCTATTTTTGCATTTTAGTAGAGATGGGGTTTTACCATGTTGGCCAGGCTGGTCTTGAACTCTTGATCTCAGGTGATCTGTTCACCTTGGCCTCCAAAAGTGCTGGGATTACAAGCATGAACCACACTGCCTGGCCCATCAAAGCTAATTTAAAAAGCCTGTATGAAAAATAATTATTCTTGCTGTACTTTTTACAAATAATCTGGCCAGGTGTAATAAAGCAAACGGGTTCTACCATGATTTGTCTTTAGTAAACATGGGAAACTGGAAAGAGAAAAATTATGTTTTAAAACAATAGTACACCTGTTGTTGGATTCTTGTCTTGCCTAATGTTTTTCAGTTTTTTTAATTTTCTACAGTATTGACTGAATTCTAATTTTTTCTGACTACAAGTCTCCAAAATAGTGTTTTCAACTTTTCTTCTTCTTTCTTTTCCCTTTCCCCTGCATTTTTCCTATTTGGAAATCACCAAGAACATAGATTTGCTTTCTTAAAGCCCCTCGATCTGAATCTGGACAACTTAAACTTTAGAAGAAAATAACAGCATAAGACACTTTCATACCTGCCTACTGATATATGGAATTCTGAGGAATGTGGCCTCTATGGATTTTCCAGGATTGCTATTTTGTTTGTTGTTATTTTTCTCTCTTCTTCTCCCTAGTTTCTCTTCATATGACTTGTGACTTCTCAACCTTCTAAAAATGGGCTTTTCTAATATCTTGGCACTTACTAGGAATAAACCATTCTAGCCATGAGACATCAGACAAAACCTGACACCAGAGACTCATTTTCTTTTAAAATTCTTTCACCAAAAGATTTTTTAAAAGAAAGGAGTTGGGGGTGGAATGTCTGCTAGATATAAGATGCAAAAGCCATATAGCTTCTTTATGTCTCAATTTCCTTGTCGCTACATTATTAAATTTGTATACTAATATTTACTAGTTTGCAGAAGGGATCAAATGGGAAAATTTGCCTAAGGTACTTAGCATAGTATTTGTTATGAAGTAACTTATTGTCTTTTACATAGTGCATGTTTTTTGAGGCACTGGTTGCTAAATTAGTAATTTTTGGCCAGCACCCGGGTCCAGGTTATCTGAGGCTTTGCCATTCGAAGTGTGATCAGAGAAACAGCAGCACTGGCTTCATCTAGGAGCTGGTTAGATCTACAGAATCTCAATCACAGTTTCTGGCCTAGGCCTACTGAACAGAGAGTTGCAATGTAACAAGATTCTGCAATTTTTTTTTTTATGCACATGAGATTTTGAGATGCACTTAAACATAGGGCATTTTCTCATTCTTATTGGCCTCTGTAATAGGAAAGTCAGCTTACTTCCTCCCTTTCTATCCATCGTACTATCCCTCTGTGTCTCAATACACATACAGATACATACAGGCACATACGTACATCTATATATGTGTTTGTATGTGAATTTATATGTATATTCATTATATGTATGCTTTGTGCCAGGCATTATGATAAAAATTCAGGTCTATTAGTGAACAAGGTTGTCTTTGCTCTCCTAGAATTTGAAATCACTGGAGGACAAGCATCATGAAGAAAAGGGGAATCCCTCTGAGGACATAAAGTTGAACCAGGAATAGGTAGCAGGAGGATTCACAAGAAAGAAGGTAGTAGACATCCTCCCTGAAATTCATGAATTGGTCTTTCTACATAGCCAGTGGTAAGATCTGATGAGCAGTCTCAGCCTCATGACATTAAAAATGTATTTCCATGAGCTTGGGGAATCCTATGAATCCACGGGTTATCAGTTGAATCAGTTCATTCAATAATTCTTGAGGTATCTTGGTCTAAATTCACTTTGGTGTGAGCTCAAGGGAGTCTCTAATGGTTCCATTAGAAGATTCAATTTATAGCCTCTCCTCCTAAACTATATTAGGTGAATGAAATTAAGAACTCTCAAAGGGAAGCTTGCTAATTAGAGCTTATTTATTATCAAGCTTTGTAATCATACAGATTACTATTATCATTATATCATAGATTTCAAATATATAGTAATATCAATAATTATTCATTAGATACTAGTGGATTATTATTCAACAGATAGCCAATAATATCACGTTATAAAATATGTAATTGTAATTTATAATATTATTCATGCATCATAATCAGATTTGTGAATGGCTTTGATTTTCTATTCCAAGATATAATAAAGTATAAAGCTTAAGCTTTCCTCACAGATGTGGTTCCTCGGTTGGTTGTTCCTCTATTCCGTCGCCTGATCTCTGATCCCAGAAGTTACTTACCAAGGGGTCAGTACATAAATGAGTTTCATAAAGTTCTCCAAACTGAATAGGACTTTGTCTCATATTGCATTGTTACACAGAGATTTGATATTTTTAAAACCTCCAATATCAGAGAAATAAGGAAGCACATTTGCTAACCTAAGAAAAGTAACCTTTTTTGGGGGTCTGAGGAAGTTAAGGAAACTGTTTTTGGCTCTTAATGGGTGTATTGACTGATATACATGCTTGCATTTACTTTTAAATTGTGTGCATATTGAAGTCTTCCCTCTCTGGCTTTTATTCACAGCAAAGCATATGGACCATTTTGAGGGGTATACTGATTGGTGAGCATTTGCCAGTACTCAAAAATCCTATCTGGACACCATACCACCATATGAGAGAAGCTTATGAGGTAGGTACTGTCATTATTACTATTTTTTAAGACAGGAAACTAAAGCTCAGTAGTGTTTATCACTTGAGCTTGTGATGAAATGTTTTACCCAAAAGAGGCTGCATAGTCCAAACACTTAAATACATCCAGTAAAGATTCACCTAGATTAATTGCTCTTTACCCAGTCCGAAGGTGATGATAGGATAGCCCAGTTTTCTTTGGGAATATTTTATCTTACCACATTTTTTTTCAGCTACACATATTCTTAGCTATCTTTTGTCTGAATTAGTATGGAAGTGAAATTTTATTTCATTTTACAGCAGCTTTATTGTGATATTACTTCCATACCATACAATTCACTCGTTTAAAGTATGAACTTCAAAAAAAGTAATAATAAAGTGCAGAAGATCAAACACCGCATGTTCTCACTCATAGGCGGGTGTTGAACAATGAGAACACATGGACACAGGGAGGGGAGCACTACACACTGGGGTCAGTTGGGGGGAAATAGGGGAGGGACGGTGGGGGGTGGGAAGCTGGGGAGAGATAGCAAGGGGAGAAATGCCAGATGTAGGTGATGGGGAGGAAGGCAGCAAATCACACTGCCACGTGTGTACCTATGCAACAATCTTGCATGTTCTTCACATGTACCCCAAAACCTAAAATGCAATAAAATAAATAAATAGAAAAAAATAATAAAGTATGAACTTCAAGATTTTTAAATGTATCATTCCATTTATTTTATTTTCTTAATTTTTAAAATGTATAATTGACACGTAATAATTGCACATATTCATGGGGTACAATGTGATGTTTCAATATATTATATAATGACCAAATCAGGGTAATGACGGTCTCTATCACTTTAGACATTGATTATTTCCTTGTGGTGAAAATATTTAGAATCTTCCTTCTCTTCTAGCTGTCATGAAGTATATACTATGTTGTTATTTGCTGTAGTCACTCTATTGTGTGGTAGGACACCAGGACTTATTCTTCTGGTCTCATTAAGCTGGTACTGTCAATTTTTAAGGAATCCTGTTCTAATTTAATTTAGTCCCTGGACAGGGAATATAATTTATTTTCCTTTTTGTTTCTATATAATTTATTTTGTCTATTTATCACCTTACTAAAAGATCACCCGCTTGCTAGCTATGTAAACCTGGGTAGGTTACTTACTAGCTCTGAATCTCAATTTCCTCTTCTATAAAATTGAGTACATAACAATAATACATACATCATAGTGTTGTTATAATAAATCATGAGTTAATTTTTTAAAAGTTACTATAACAGTGCTTCGCATATAATAAGGGCTATGTGTTTGCCAAGAAAAAAATAAAGAGGGATAATATGTCCAGAAAATTAGCATAATTTTTTTCTAGATAATTTCTAATTAACTTTCTTCAATTACAAGAACCAGAAGTTTGAGACCAGCCTGAGCAACATGGTGAACCCCCCTGACACCACATCTCTACCATGTAATACAAAAATTAGCCACGTGTGGTGATGCAAACTTGCAGTCCCAGCTGCTTGGGAGGCTAAAGTGAGAGGATTACTCAAGCCCCAAAGGTTGAGGCTTCAGTGAGCTGAGATTGTACCAGTGTACTCCAGCCTGGGCAACAGAGAGAGAGAGAGAGAGAGAGAGATTTAAAAATCAAAATACAAAATCCTGGCCCCTTAGTAGAAAAATCAACTTTATTTTTAGAACTATTTTCAAGGGCTTATTGGAATGGTGCCCTAGGGCTGAAAACCCTTCCCTTCTGGGTCATAATTCTCCAACATGGGTGTCAGTTATTCAAGGGCTAGGCATAACAGAGAGTCTTCAAGAAAGTTGGTGACTGATAAATGTTGCCTGATTTAATGAAAACTTCATTCCTTCCTTCTCAGCAATTCTCCTGGAATTCTCAGCTTGGTCAAACACCCACTTTTCCAGATGTCCCTAGTTAGTCCAGATCCTTGTGACCACAGTTGTCAACCATGACATCACTGTGGTGAGAGAATTCTGACATAACTAGGAGTGCCTGGAAGAGGCAGAGGTTGATAGACTGTAACTTCCAGAAACCATACTGCCAACTTCTGTGTCTTCTAGTTAAATAATTTGAAATAAATTTTTGACAATGAGATGATGGCTTCAGTATTCTATTTGTATTATCATGAAGAAGCACACCAAAGTATCTCGTGCAAAAATATAATAATAGGATAATCTTTGGAATTTTAAACTATTTTGTCCAATGAGTAGATTTTTTAAAAAAGATTTTTCTAGAGAAATTCAATATTTAAAAAACATTGTTCAGCACATGCTTATTGAACAATCAGCAAGATAAAATAGTCTGTTTTCCCCATAAATTATAGGTAAATATTTAAAAAATATTGCCATTGTTTTAAAAGTATTTGTTGATGACCTGTGTTCTTAGGAAGATATGTGCTTAGCATATGAGTGTTCATGAATTTTAGTATCATTATTATTATTACTATTATTACTGGTATTCACATCTTTAATACCCTTCATTCCTCATGCTTCCACTTCTCACCATCATCCTTTTTGGTCTGATTGCAATCTTCCACGGCTTGCTCAAAGCCTGTCTTTTGGACTCATGCTGCTCCCTATGCCTCCAAGTCCAGCAAGGGTTTTCTATTGAAATTTGCTGCCAGAAACCAAGCCTTAAATCTACATCATCACTTCCTCTAACCAGTAGCTAAATGGGATCAGCAAAACTAACCCAACAGCCACTCTGCACACACTTTAACTTCTACTGAAGTTATGGCAGCTGTGTCTCCAGCATTGTATCTAAGAGAGTCATGGGAGGAAGATGAAGAAAATGTGGGAAGAGTGAAGTAGGTAGAAAGTTGATACAGTTATGAGTGAAAGCAGAGTAAAAGTGGGTGAATGAATAAGAGAAGAAATCTGTTCCCTACTGAGGCTAAGGTCAGTGGTGCAGAAAAATATGCGGAAAGGTATAAGGGCCTAGTGAAGTAAACATGTGTACAGTCTCTTTTCTCCTAAGACTCTTTCAGTTTTCCTTTGATTAAATGTTTTTCTTTTTGAAAATGACATCTCAGAAAATTGTCTTTTTCTTTTTTTTTTTTTTTTTCTCATGACATCCTTGTTAGTTCTCTAGGATATGATACTGATATGAAAAAATCTGTAGCAAGATGTATTATGAGACTAAGGAAACCCAGTGGGTTATATATTTTCTTTTGACTATTAACTGTGGTGGCTGCACTCTGTGATGAAAATAGATAATATTGTGGATAACACAGGATAACGACAATATTTAAATTATTGCCTTTTTTTTTGAGATGGAGTCTCGCTCTTGTGACCCAGGCTGGAATGCAGTGACGCTATCTGGGCTCACTGCAACCTCCACCTCCCAGGTTCAAGCAATTCTTCTGCCTCAGTCTCCCGAGTTGCTGGGATTACAGGTGCGTACCACCATGCCTGGCTAATTTTTGTATTTTTAATAGAGACAAGGTTTCACCAACCATGTTGGCCATGCTGGTTCTGAACTCCTGACCTTGTGATCTACCCACCTCAGCTTTCCAAAGTGCTGGGATTGCAGATGTGAGCCACTGCACCCAGGCCTGTTTTGAAAAATGTTGTTGATGTCCTAGGTTTCTATGGAGATATGCACTTAGCATATGAGTGTTGATGAGGTAAAGCATATTTGTTCTCAGTGCCTATATTCGCTTTCCAGTGCTGCCTTAACAAACTACTACAGACTGGATGGGTTAAACAATGGCAGTTTATTGTTTCAGAGGTCCAGATCCGGGATGTCTCAGACAAAGGTTTCGACAAGGTTGGTTCCTGCTGAAGGTTATGGAGAATCTTTCATGCCTCTCTCCTAGCTTCTGGTGGTTTGCCTGCAATCTTTAGCTTATGGAAGCATAACCCGTGTCCGCCTTCATCTTCATATGGCATCCTCCCTGCATGTATGTCTGTGTCCAAATTTCCACTTTTTGTAAGAACACTGGGCATACTGGATGAGAGGCCTACTCTCCTCCATTGTTATTTCGTCTTAAGCAGTTATATCTGCAATCACACTATTTCCAAATATGGTCACATTGTGAGGTACTGGGAGTTAGGACTTCAACCTATGAATTTTAAGGGGACACCATTCCATCCATAACGGTGCCAGTTTGGTAAAATTTCATTTAATTTACTGTTCTTGGAAACCTATCATTTAGGTTGTGTGTTCCTTCTTAAATAGGACTTCTTAATGAATGAAGCCCATTAACTTGAAAACTTTTAATTAACAAAGTACAACTTCTAAGCTACCTACATAGAAACTTTCACATGTATCTCATATGGAAAAACCTACCTATATGAAATGAGAGAAGGTCATCCAAGTAATTTTGTAATGAGTGAGGAGAGCACAGTTGAACACAGGAGTCCAAGTTGTTCCTCCTATAGGTCAGTCCTAAAATTCAGAACTCGTCTTTCAATGTCAGTGTCAGGTCCAAGTTGCCTGAAGGAATCCTAATGCCTTTTTGTTCTTGTTTTTCCAAGATAATTACTATCTGGGCTAATGGTCTGTTTTTGATAGACTGTTTCTATCTTGACTGGATACATTCTTTCTAAGTCTTTCTTCACCCTCTTATCCTATTGGTTAAAGTAAATTCTTTGTGAAGCTTGTCTCTAATCTCTAGATATGGGGTCTGGTAATAGGTAATCTACTCATTCTTTTCTGTACACTTCATCTTTAAGGAGCAGGTTCGGCTGGGTAGAGGTCATTTCATTTCTGTTTTATCTCTAGAATACATTCACCCACCCTATGAAAACATTTAGTTCTAACCAAATGTACTACACACCTATCACAGTCTCCCTACCCCCGACACGTGTATACACACACATGTGCAAACACACAAACTCTTCCTGTGTTGTGGGAAACTTTTAGGGGCAGCTACACATGGAATCTTCATTAAAACGCCCTGAGGAGTTTGAGGCTGTTGTATCATACTTGAAAATGAAGAGTATCTTATTTTTAACATTGAACTGTTAATGCATGCAGGGAATTGGGAAGAAATGTGAGTCTGACTAAAAGATTATTAAAGAAAAAGCCATAGGATTAACTAGAGTGAAAACAGCAAGAGAGTTATGAAAGTAATTTTATTTGGAGTTTTTGAATAGCTAAATTTTCCAATTTGTTTTCTGGATTCTGGTAGGAAAATATACAAGCTGTTTCTCCTCCCTGAGAAAAAGCTGATATCAGAAATAAGTAAAAATTGTAGATATATCTTTTTCCATTTACTAAAATTCTTATGGAAAAATGGCTTCCAATTGTCCAAGGAGGGATTTTGAATAATATGCATGTGTGCTTGCATGATTGACAGAGAATTTTTGAGTCTATTTTCTGTATAAACATGTATGTATAGAAGGGAAGTTTTAAAAAATAAGGTAAAGTGTGATTATTTTGAGCTTAGTTTTTTTCTTTCAAAATTATGAATTTAAAAGAAGTATTCATCCAAATATTTCAAGATTCCTTTCAATAAGTACGATTGAGGCACTATTCCTTTCTTATGAGACCTTGCCCCTGGTGTCTGTGACATCATAAGAGAGTGATTCAAGAGGAGTAAATGAGCAGTTACACACACACACAGGCACGCTTAAATGTTGGCATTCCTCTTTCCAAGTCTCATGTTCTTAAAGACAGAGTTAATGTTTTTGCTAAAGATAGTGGTGTTAGGCCGCACGGTGGCTCGTGCCTGTAATTTCAGCGCTTTGGAAGTCTGAGGCAGATGGATCACGAGGTTAAGAGATAGAGACCATCCTGGTCAACATGGTGAAACCCCGCCTCTACTAAAAATACAAATATTACCTAGGGGTGGTGGCGCACACCTGTAGTCTCAGCTACCTAGGGGGCTGAGGCAGGAGAATTGCTTGAATCCGAGAGGCAGAGGTTGCAGTGAGCCAAGATCACACCACCGCATTCCAGCCTAGGCAACAGAGTAGCGAGACTCCGTCTCAAGAGAAAAAAAAGTTAGTGGTGTTCACTGAACATTACATTGCTGTCCATATTTCTCAATCTCCTTGCAATTATGCAGGACCTCGTGATTAGTTTTGGTCAATGGTTGTGGGTGGAAATGATGTGTGATGTTTGCTATTTTAACATAACAGCCTACCCAGCTAATACAAAGGTTTTACACAGCACGTACCACACTACACTTTAATTGTTCATATATCCACAATTTTATCTTCCTAGTGTAAAAAAGATCTAAAAGGTGTAGTCTGACAGTCATAGACTCTCTCAGTCTTGGGTCATCTTTGTAGCTAGGGAAGAGGTGGAGACTGGCACATCTTTCTAGCTGGGAGGTCTACAATTTTTCAAAAGAGACAAATTAGAGCAACTGGCCTATTGTGAGAGGACAAGGTGGCCACTTGAATAGAATTTCAGGGTGCTAACCGATGCCTTTTTCACTTAGGGCACACCCAGGACTACATAGAACATTATCTTACCTCATTTTAAACATAATTTCAAACTTTCAGTTCATGTGTTTAACTTTTAAATGTTAAAGCATTTGAATCTTTCTGCTACATTTTAAAGATTCAACACTGATGGCTATTGCATTATCTCAAAAGAAAATGCACCTTAAAATCAATTAGGCTTGTTCCATTTGGATATGCAACACGTGATAATAAAACATTTGAATATTCCCTTCAAAAATTAGTGTTTGACAATAATCTGACCTACTAAAATTATCTTCCAAGAAAGCAATCATTCAAAGATGCAGTATAAGAACAAGAAACTGGCCCTACTTCCTATATCACCTTCCTCTCTGTGCAGTCATGTTTCCAAGATTGCAGCTTCTATGACACTGAGTCATTAGGAATATAATCAGTCATTTTCACTGCTGTAAATAGTGCATTGTACAGTCCTCACGAGCGTTCTGCTCCACCATCTGAGGTCCCAGTTGGAATCAAAGGAGGAAAAGAGGATCTGCTACTTGAAAGTATCCATTGATATATTGTTAAAAGTTTTTTGTTTCAATAGTTTTGTTCAAGACAAACCAACTGGAAGTCATTTCTTTTTAACTGTTAAACAGAACTTTCTCTTTTGGCATTCTGTAACACTTGCATTTTGCATCTCCAGCTTAGTTAATTGTACCAAGTGTTTCTAATATTTCAGAAAACTCCAAGTGCAAATCAGTAATATAGGAACATAGAAGGCATTTAATACCATTAATCCTTCCCCACAATTTAAAAGATTAAATTTAAATTAAAATTTAAATATAGGATTAAATAGGATTAAAGTCTAGGGCTGTCTGCTTCAGAACCAAAGGTATAATTCTGTGTATCCCTTGGGTACTGCAGCTGAAGAAATGCGAAAACATTGTGTTTTCTTAACAAAAAGAGCTATTGAGAGGGGAAACCTGTTGGTTCCCTGCATCCTAAAGGCTGACTACGTTTATTTCTTTTTATATACAGATGTTCCTAATTTGAAATATCAAGACTCATAGAGTTGAGCTGACAAATTTAAAACTGTCTGCAATTTTGGATTTACAAGCACTGTGCTAGGCACTAGACAGTAGTGAAGAAAACCGGACAAGAGTTGTATCACCATGGTGCTTGGAATACTGATGGAGACACAGATTATACAAATAATGCAAAATTATATTTGTGATAAGGACAGTAAATGAATGGTATTTGCAACTATAACATCATTTAGTCAAGGGATGTGATATAACTTGCAGACCAGGCAAATTTTCTTTGTGTGAATGATGATAGAGATGAAACCTGAAGGTTTACTTTTAGCAAATGAAGTGGGAGAGGAAGAGTGTTCCAGGCAGAGACAACAGTATGTGTTAAGGACTTGTGTTCAGATGATACTCAGACATTGTATTTTTAAGCTCTTCAAGTTTGATTTGAGTACTTTTCCATTATCTCCCATGTCTTTGCGTGCTCAAAGCTTCTTGAATATATGACATAGAGTTATACTAACTGATTTGATGTTCTTAGTCTACTAAATCTGTATTATTGCCAGGTCTGTTTCTATTGATTGATTTTTCTCTTCATTATGGGCTCTATATTCCTGCTTCTTTATAACTATGGTAAATTTTAATTATATGCTAGAAAATGTGAATTTTACCTTTTTGGGAACTGGATTTTTATTTGTATACATATTCTTGAATTTCGTCCTAGGATGCTGTTAAATTACTTAGAAACAGTTTGCTTCTTTTTGTTGTTGTTATTCTTAAGGCTTGTTAAGTGGGACCAGAGCAGCCTTTAGTAGCCAATTTTGCCCATTTAGTAAGGTAGTAATGTTTTTAGTATTCTATCCAATGCTTCTTGAATTAAGAGGCCTTCCATTCTCACTGGTGGGCACACAAACTATTCCCAGCTCTGGGTGAGCCCTAGGGGTTGTCTCCTCTGCTCCTTGGGTGTTTCTTTTTCCAGCCTTCGATAATTTGCTCACATGCATATCCTTATCAATATTTGGCTGAATACTCAAAGGGAACCCTCTGCAGATCTCTGGGCTTTCATTCTCTGTAATTTTCTCCTCTGTAGTACTCTGCCCTCTCCAACTAAATAACAAACAGACAGGGAGACTATAAAAGAAAATAGTATTTATTTAGGAGTAGCATTGCAATGGGAATATGCATACCATGTAAATTATGTGTATATTCAAAGAGTTTGAGGCGATGGCAATGAGAAGTTTTTAAAGGCAAATGAGGAAGATTACCTAGGTTTTTATTATTATTATTATTATTTTAATCAATCATGCTTGGCTACTGAGATCAATAATAAGGGAAAATCAGTCCAAGGTTAAACAGGAAGTTGCTAGGCAGACATCCTTGCAGAAGCATTTACTGGACAAGGTTGTGGTGACCCTTGTGCAAGGTTGTGGTTTTTGCAATCTGTTTTGATATTTTTGTTATCAGGCAAACATGCTTGAGAACCCTCCTGTCATGGCCTTCCCCAGTTCCATTTTGTCATGGCATGACACAAATGGCTCCATTTTGATTCTGACAACTTTGACAGCACTGTGAACTCTTGCTTCCTTGGCCTCCTTGAACTCTTAGCTCCAACTCCTCAACTCAGGGAAGTCAATGGACTTCTCCAGGGTTCTTCATCTTTTTCTATTTCGTGCTGCTATAACAAAATGCAAGAGACTGGGTAATTTATAAAGAAGAAAAAATTTTCTCACAATTCTGAAAGCTGAAAAACCCAATATCAAGGCACTATCAGGTTTGATTGTCTGGTGAGGGATGCTCTCTGCTTCCAAGAGAGTGCTTTGTTGCCACATTCTCTGGAGAGAAGAACTGTCTTTACACATGCATGGTAGAAGGTGGAGGGGCAAGTGTGAAGCATCTTTTATAAGGACCATAATCCCATTCGCAAGGGAGGAGCTCTCATGCCTAATTTCCTGTTGAAAGCTCCATCTTTTAATACTCTCACATTGGCCAGTAAAGTGTTATTACCTATATTCTGGAAAGCACACATTCAAACTATTACACCCTCCCTGTACTGCAGCCTGGAAACTCTTTAGGCAGTGAGCTGATCCAACTGCAGGGCTCACCTTGTTTGCTTTCCTTGTCTCAGGAATTGCAGTCCTGTGCTACCAGTGTCTACAAGCCATTGTTTCATGTCTTGTCCACTTTTGTGGTTGTTTCCCATGGAAGGGTAAATTAAGTCTATTCCATCATGGCAGGAAGAGAAAGTTTGAATGACACTGATAAAACACCTGTATGGCTAGAATTATATGCTGCCAAATAAGACCAGAGGAGTAGACTAGCAGCAAGCAGATATTCCAATCGGAAAAACAATGCATCTTTTTCTCTTTTCCTTTTCATGAACACAATGTGTATATGCCAGCATAAGACATCTGTTTACTTGGAGCGGGGAATGTGATATAAAAGAGGCAGAGACACATCTTTATGTTGTTGTTGTTGTTATTATTATTATTATTATTATTATTGAGACAGAGTCTCATCCTGTCACCCAGGCTGGAGTGCAGTGGTGGAATCTCAGCTCACTGCAACCTCCACCTTCCAAGTTCAAGCAATTCTCCTGCCTCAGCCTCCCAAGTAGCTGGGACTATAGGCACCCACCAGCATGCCTGGCTAAGTTTTGTATTTTTAGTAGAAGTGGGCTTTTACCATGTTGCCCAGGTTGGTCTTGAACTCCTGACCTCAGGTGATCCACCTGCCTTGGCCTCCCAAAGTGTTGGGATTACAGGCGTGAGCCACCACGCTTGGCCTGGTATTTTGATATTGAGGATACAAGGTGAACTGGGAGACCTGGAGAGCCTAGCATGAAGCAAAGAGGGCATAATGCCTGGGGATTTGGTGAAATCAAGGCTAGCAGAAAAGAAGGATGATGAGATCAGTAGCACCTTATGATCACTACTGGGAGGGTCCCAGAACAACCACTCATGCACAGGCCAGCCAGGACCCACGAAACCCTGTGGGGTTTCAAAGAGTTATTTCTCTGTCCTCCAGCAGCATGAGATCATGTGTTATCTCCATTTCTCTCATAAATTTCATTGTCATCTAGGAGGAAGGGTAAGAGAGAGGACAGAACTCTGATTTGGCATTTTCCTGACTCATTTAAATAGCCCAAGTTACTTAGAGACTGCTTAAATGGGCATGCACCAAAATTTCTCCATCTTTTGACTTACCAGATTCTTTTCCTTCTAATACCTCTCAGGATGTGGTATTTTAAGTAAGACCAGATCAGTTAATAGAAAATAAAAGAGCTTTTTTTTTTTGTTTTGTTTTTGTTTTTTTACACATCTGAATGG